TCCGTTTTGAGAGCTCCGGTGCCCGCGTACTGAATGCTACAGATGTCCGCGTTGTCGGCCCAACCTTTCAATCGTTATATTCGTCGTGTGAATAACATATGACACAAATTATAGTTATATTTTAAATACCATTTCTATAGAGATAGTGAAAGCCCGGGTAGTCATCCAAAGTGTCCGAATTGTTCAAAATCTGGAAGCGCTTCAAAACGGACTCCAAACAGTGTTTGGCGATCAAACCCTGTGCGACATTAGTTCGGTCTAAGCTATCGATACAATTGGTGCGAAAGACGCCCTCTTGTAGGCTGAGGGCAGACCTATCGGCAGACATCAGGAAATAACCGAATTCTTTGAGTTCGTTGTCAATGCGGTCCATAAGGATAGAGAGCCGATCCCAACGCATTTTGCGGCACTCGTGATGAAAGTCAAACGACTCGTATCTCACGAATTGACTATTCGATTGTCTGACGACCTCTTTGAACGCCCTCTCGAGTGGCAACTCTTGTCCGGAATGATTGACTAAATTAATTAAACATATTTTCCCGTAATTATTGATTAAATGGTCGATATGTTTGTGATAACTCTGCAATTGGTTCGCGAATTGAGTCAATTGTGGCGGAGGTTTGTATCGCAGATCCGGTAATTGTGTCCAATGAAGAGGTATTGAGCCTCTAATCTGAACGAACGAACTCTGGGAGGACTCGTATTCGACAATCTGTTCGGTCTCGACATAGTTGGACGGATGGCCATCGCTGTCGATGCCTCTCATGAACATTCGAGTGCCCGCGCGGTATACACAGCGTCTGGAAATTATAGTCCACACGAATAGCTTCCGATTGATTGTAACGGCATTTATGTTCACAACTGTTATCACGAAAGAGATATAAATTAGACACCAGTTGGTTGAAGACTAAGCATAACGAGCGCATACATCCGTGCATTACTGGAATACAATAGGCGCTGAGTTCGGACCGAACCGACAGTTCCGACAATAACCAGTGGTTCCATACAAAACGTTTGTCGGCCTTTCGGGCGAAGAATGGACTCAATCAATATTGCAAACGATTTAGTGATACAATCAATACTCACTCTTTCAAACAGCGATTTAGACATGAAATCCGGACCACAATTATACAGACTTTGAAGAGTGTGAGTCAAGTCGTAAGTGTATGAGAGATAAAAGTACGGCGAATCCAAAACAGTTTTAATCATATTTAGATAACTCTTATTGTATTGGTTCTGGTCTTCGGTCAAGTGAAGTGTCGTCCGACTGAATGGTATGATCTCTGTCTCGTCGATCTTCATCACCGATTGGCCGTAAATTTCGCCAACTTTTGACACTTTTGTTATGACAATCAAATACGGACCTAAAGATGTGGACAGAGTTTATATAATAGTACCCAAAGGCTCAGTGACCGCAAAATCAATATAAATACCGGCCAATAGTCTAACGACACCGAGAATGCCATGAATTAGTTTGGATGTAGCGATGCCTGTAATCTGTGTTTTCGGGGCTGCAATCAAATGATACAATTAGTGGTCAATCGGACCTAACAGTGGACAACAATACATACCCTCTAAAGTGATTTGAGTGGTCTGTCGGTCGATAATAAGGAGTTCGTTGTCGTTGTCAACGGGTCTGACATAAAACTTTTCGGGCGAAACAAACCTACAGTTCATTGAAATAGAAAAATGATTACAATTTAGTTTTGATGACATTTCGTGCCACAAATGTGTGTTTAGTTACAGATTAAGCGATTTGTGGACCAATTGTGTCATCGTATCCACAGTTTGTGTTGCCTTTCAATGAGCCGTATATTAAATGTGGACTTGAATTAAGCCGTGATTTTGAAACCACAATCAATATTGATATGCAATTCAGTGTCGATTAAATGACAACAAACCACATATCAAAGCCAATCACATGATTCAACACAAACTATATCTTTTTCATTCCTACTTTTGGTCTTTTTTGACAGTCTATTACATAGCGTTACGCTTATAATAGGCACAAACTATAGGGTGACAGTTGTTGCCATACAAAGCCATTGTAATGAATAGATTAGAACAGTTAGATTTGGCTTTCAATCAAACGATTGAATGATTTTGACTTAACGTTCAATTGAATGGATGCCTAACTTTTCAATAGGAATTTCCACTGATTTGTCAATTCAATTGTATTTTACAAACTTTTGTATTAATTATTGTCTATACATGTTATGCATTGTTTTCATGCCATTCACGCAGTGATTATACTTTGAATGATATTTGATTTTATTATTTAAGGATAAAATATTGAAACAAATTGTTTAGATGTTTGGGGAAGAGAAGAGGAAAAAGAAATTTTTTAAAATTATAATAATTATAACAATTATTGTTAAACAGGATGTATAACAGTATCACAGAATCACAGAATCTAGTGTATTATATGGCAATCATTTAAAAGTTGCTATAATTATAATTAACGCGAAAATTAAAAGTTAACCAAATATTTCGTAAAATGCAAACAAAACTTAAAGAATAGTTAAAGAATTATTAATTAGAAATAATTAACTTTTTTATTAATATCATATACTCTCTCATAAAACTACTTAATTAATTAATTCATACATTTCTAAAACAAATCCCAAAAATACTTCAGTTGTTATATTTCGTGAAATTCTTGCGATTTGTAAAATTCTTGGTTGAATTTGATGTTAAAATTTAAATTCTTATACATTTGACAATATTTTGAATGATAAATGATTATGTATTTTGTGATAATAAAGCGCTGAATAACTGAAACTATTGTCAAACAATTGAGACATTAGTTAATAAAACAAATGATTGGATAAAAAGCGATTAAATGATGGGATGTATCGGATGTAGTGTTGGGTTAGTGTTAATCCAATGAATCAGTGATTGAATCAAGTGTTTGGTTGTCGTAATTGATGGATGTGTTGGTGTATGGGATGTGTTGTTGTGTTCATGGATTGGATTTATTGAATAGTGTTTTGAATGAAAGTCTGAATGAGTTTTAGAGGAGAAGAGAGTGAAAGAGAGAGAAGAGATGAGAGGAGAGAAGCAAATACTAAAGGATTCACTCTTTTCACTGTTTCTCACCGAAAATGCATTGAAATGAGCACTAAATCGATACATAAAACTCATGTCTCAGAGTCTGTGAGAGAATGACTGAAACACAGACACAGAGAGACGAGTGAAGAGATTTCGGCCAATGTTTTCGTCCAAACAGTTGTATCAATGACTCTATTATTACA